ACATCATAAAATGTACATGTCACTATAACCCTACCTTAAGTGCGGTCAGAGAAGAAAGGGATTATTCCAGTCTTTAGTCTTCAGTAATAAGTATAGTAGGTTGATGAACCTGTGTTAATCCTGACAGATTTCCTTCCAGTGAAGGTCCAGCTTCTTCTTGAAAATGTTCACTGATGGTGCTGATACCACTTGTTCTGGTAAAGCGTTCCAGTCATTGACCACTCGATGAGAAAAACGGGACCCCACCTTTAGTTTATTAGATCGCGGTTTCAGAACCTTCTTGCTATGACCCCGGAGATTATTAGTGCTGGAGGGAGCAAAAAGATAAGACATATTAACACCCAGATCATAATTAAAGATACGAAATGCCAGTATGAGGTCACCTCGAGTCCTACGATAAGATAAGGGGAAAAGGTTTAGACGTTTCAGGGGAGTTTAGAAAGACCCTTCACTAATTTTGTCCTAACACGCTGGACACGCTCAAGTGATTTAGTATAATTTATCAGACATGGGCTAGCTGTTTGGATACAGTATTCTAAGTGTGGCCTTACATAGGTGGGGTATAAAATTGGAAACATATCCTCGTCGAAGCATTTAAATGTTCGGCGAAGTGACCATAGCGCACGACAACCGCATTGCAGTGCGTAGTAGTTTCTAAGTTGTGACTTATAGTTATTCATAAGTCTTTATGTTCTTGGACGCGTGGAAGAGATGTACCATTAATGGTATAATAGTAACTAATATCGTGCCCGATGTGCTTGAACACGCTTTCCCTGGAATTAACTTCCAGGCCCCAATCATGAGCCCATCTAACTAATTCGTCTAAACCAGCTTGCAGATGACAACGATCAGTCTCACTTCTTATTGTTCTCCAGATTTTAACATCATCCGCAAACAATAATGTCGATGACATAAGTAATAAAGGTAGTTCGTTAGCATACAGAAGGAAAAGTAAAGGGCCTAAGATGGTGCATTGGGGTACACCACTTTTGACTGTCTTCCATTCGGATAGCATTCCATGGACCCTCACTCTCTGTCTGCAGTCACAGGAAGTTTTCTGTCCGTTCCTGTATAGCACCTGTTATTCCAAAGCTCGAGAGCTTCTGCATAAGACCTAAGAGTGAAACTTTGTCAAACACTTTGCTAAAATCTATGAATATAGCGTCTACAGACAGGCCGTTATCTAGGGCAGCTGTCCAATCCTCTCTCGCAATAAGTTAGTTAAGCATGAACGCTTGTTACGAAACCCATGTTGCTCGAGATTTAACAAATTGTACGAATCTATGTGACTCAGTAGCTTAGCCCGAATTATTTTTTCAAGTAACTTGACTACTATGCTGATCAGGCTGACAGGCCGGTAGTTAGATACCATTCGTCTCTGATCAACTTTAAATATAGGACTAACTATAGCGTCTTTCCAGTCTCTAGGTAGTTGAGCCTGTGAAATGGACATGTTGAAGAGCGTCGTGAGCGGTCTTGAAATAATGTCCGCGAGCGATGACAGCAAACGTGGATGTAACCCATCGGCGCCCGGTATCTTGCCCGGCTTGATGTTAGTTATCAATGGAAGAAAAACAATACCCTCGGTCACGTATATAGGTCCTATGGTTGGTATCTCGTTGTCAATGGGGCAAGTAGTTGTAACACTACACGTAGAGTAGACTTCACTAAAATGGTTTGCAAATGTCGCAGCTTTCGCTAGATCAGATTCCGCTAGTAAATCTGAATTTTCGTTTAACAGTAATGGGGGATACCATCACTACGTTTTGTCTGCCTTTTAACGTATGAAAATAGTCGCTTCGGACAGGTGCGGCCATCGTATGCGAACTGTCGTTCGTAAGCAGTACGGGGTTTAGTTGGTCTTTTTACATATATTCCGGGTTTTTTTATATTCGCACCTAAATGATGCTTGACCTGTTGACAAGAATAATTCCCCAAAGTGTTTCCTACGCTTCAACAGCTTCCGGGTTTCCTTATTAATCCATGGAGGGCAATGTGATAGCTTACGTGCTGGCCATGGGATAAACGGTTGAGTTAAGGATTCGAATGTAGACTTAAACCTATTCCATGCATCGTCGATCGTACCATCAGCATCGACCGACCAATCAATCGAGATAGCATAGTGAGGACAAAGTCTATCAATGACGGATTATGTTCCAAGTCAATATGTGTCGGCTTTACGATGCTTTGTACAAGTGCACATTGAATAATTGATGATAGAAGGACGCTATCAAAACCCTCAGCTCTATCCAGTTTATATGGGGTGCGTTGAAGTCTCCAATGATGAGACAACATTCTGCCTTACTCGAAGAACAGACGTGTCTTAGGATAAAGTTGTCAGTTAGACAACACGGAGTACGATATATTCCTCCTATAGTCACTAACCCGTTCTTAGACATAATTGTACAACATACTACCTCACACGTGTCACTCGCCTGCGCCTCCGATATGATCGAGTTAATGCGGAAGTGGCCCCTAACATAGAATATTATACCTCCTCCCTTGCTACATATAATTCTATCACTTCTGATACAGATGTAGCCTGAAATGATGGGAGAACAGTCTATATCTACAGTGAGCCAAGTTTCGGTGGAAACAATTATATCGGGATTTAATTCGTCCACCATCAAAATTAGCTCAGATATCTTATTTCGAAGACTACAGGCATCCGTGTAACACACATTTAAGGTGTTTATGGAAACATACGTTCTACCCACACAGGTCTCCTCGGTTTCTCTCTTTTTTTCTCCAGAATCTTGCTCTGAGGGTGAGGTTATGTAACTTCGGACATCTGGAACAAGCTTGACGAACGCGCTTTCCCAAGGTCATAGCTCGAACCAGGCGCTCCACAAACCTACTTTATAACAACAATAAACTTAAAAGGCTGCATTACATAAATACTTAGCTCGACCGAAACCCTATTACACTTTTTGTTGTGATTGGATCTGGTATGTAACTTGGACGCTATGCCCCTTTGGAAATATATTCTTATGAAAACACATTATATCTGAACGAATGAACTGCTATCAACTTTTATAGATTATAATTACTAAACAACCTTGATTGGGATGCATACTGTGAACCAGTATATGTTGTAAATTGTAGATCATGCCTGTAAAAATGGCGTGTACCTGCTATTGCAGAAATATATTGTTATTATTATTATTATTATCATTATTATTGGCTTCCAAGACCTGACTACCCGAAAACCCTTAATCGTAAGGTTCGTTTCACCGTTTAGTTTTCAAGTTTTTAACTCTGTCAGGGAATTCGTCCACTTGATCCGATCCTCAAGTGGCCAGTCTTCTGGAATACGAATATTTTAGTCCTGAATTTCGCGTGCGTTATTCAGTACTACGCCTCTTTCCTCAAAATTTCCGAGTACTAATTTAAGGATCCTTCCTTGTTGGGTCTCGCCCACGACATATTTACCTAGTCTGATGACTTTCGTGATATGTACCCCTGAGACCTCATCGGGCATTACATTTCTGATGACAGATCCCACTAACTGCAGATCGTGGGCATGTCTCTTAGCAGGGTCGGTGTCTTTCGATTCTTCTCCATTCCAAATGATTACACTAGGGACCTGTTTAAGTTCTTTAAAAGTCGTGTTCACGGCTTTCGACCGTGATGTCAGATCCTGCATGTTAGCTACTGGCTTCTTACTGTTAGCTTTCTTTTTAACAGTGTCGTGTTAGTCGAGCGAGTGATTTACAACAACATTTGATGAAGCCAAACTGTTCCCATCCACGACAGGGCTAAATATTTTCTTACATTTGGACTTTAGCGGAGTAACCTGATTCTCAGGACGTGAGTTCAACAAGGACTATACGCACGATCTCTTTAGGTATCTTACCTTCTCTTTTACGTTTCCGCGTTATCCATTTCCCACCAGTATCAGCATCCAGATTAGAAGTACTCGGGAAGATAGTGAATATAGCCAGGTCATCAGTCGCTGCTAAAGCAACTTGCCCCTCAATATGCAATAGTGTGTCTCGGAGTAGAAATTTCTACTTCGTGTTGCAACATTGGGTGTCTGGCATATGCCATGGCAGCATTTACGACACTGATACAATCTTCGTTATCAGTATCCGCGTTGCCGGCACAGCCTTCGTCGACCTTTTTATTAGCTAATGCTAGAAGGATAATGGCTTCCTGAATGAGTAATGTTTTGCTTGAACAACAAAACATACAAAGTCGATGAGAATTGGGCTTCGAATACCTTTTATAGGCAGTAGTGCTTAAGCGCGTGCACATATTGTGGAACCACTCCTTACATTCATCACATTGCATCCCTTCTTACGCGTGGGAACAAGCAATATGACTGTCCACACTTGTGTGCAGAGCCGACCATCTTAGAATGAAGCAAAATGACCGACAAGGTAGATATGTAAGACAAATCACAACCTTGGTCAAATAATGAAGCCGAAGTCGACCAAGAATGCTTTGATGCAGTTTTACAACTAGCTACCAGTAGCACCTTCTATATTTGATCGTTCCCAGTCAGATAGAAATCAGAAGTCAGACGAGAAGAGGCAGGAAAGATATATTTGATGCGTTACCAATATATCGAGGACCTTTTCTATGAGCTGACTAATGAAACGTAGGAGCTGTGTCCCACGCCGTCTTGAAACGTGATCTGGTGCGGATGCATGACCGAAAGCCTTCAGCTAAACAAGTCCACTTAAACAACAGGGTCAGCATCCAATGTCGAACACTTAATGAACTATTGATTTTGGGGAATTACTTACAGCTACACAGTAAATACACAAAAGCAGGATCAAAACACACAAATACAATACCACGTTAACTGAAATAAGTTCAAATCAAGTGTAAACAGTGGTTTTGATACGTAATTTACGATCAAAACAGTGAATTTAACTCAACAAGAATTAATACCACTGTCCTTTTAAAGAGCGCTCAATGTCCTAGATGACTATTGGAATTGACATCAAGTCCACGGAAATTTGTGATCTTGGTTTTGGACTCGATAAGTTTTAATGTGTCAAGGTCAACGAGGGTTAATTAAAATGTCTGGAAGGACGGAAAGGGGTTGTTTGGTGGTGTTTCTGGTATTTACCTTGTTAATTTACAAGTCATCCCAGATAGGTAACAACTATCAGTATTTTATAATATTGTTTGAATGTTAGTAAAATTTATGGCATGTGAATAGGCAGGGATGTAATTTTCAGTTTTCATAGTGATCACCATGAAAACTTAAACATCTTGAGTATCGTTCCTCAAAGCCTGTCGTTATTGTTGTTCGTAATGTTGAACTGTATTTTATTTTTCCCAACTTGTGGAGACCCATATTAGTCCATTTTATTCAGCAAAGGTTAATTTACAAATTTCTGATAGTCATTCATTCTCTGGGGAAAACACTTGGGACTTTCTGTTAAATGATCGCTGTAGTTGCCATGACTCTGTTGACACGTGAATTTGTGTTCCAGTGGTTCATTATTTTTATTTTAACCAAGTTTTTTCCTCTATCTCCGTAAAGATCTGTAGCGTCATTAGGGATCGGCCGTGCTCGCTGCCTGATTGTCCTCACGTTATTTCTTTTCAGTAGCCCTGCAAAGCAGTAAAGATCGTTATTGTTAATTAATCAACTGTCATTCAGCGTTTGTTTGAAAATATACTGGGTTACATGATAGCTTTCGTGACAATAATGTCATCGAGTTCATGATCAAACCAAAAGTTAGTGAACTGTTGTTATATTTCGATTTAGACACCTCTGTTCACACCAACAATCTCACAGAACTAGAGCAACGTTTCGGCAACCTTTTCGGCTTTTAACAGTTTTTCAGTAACTTTTGACTTGTAATCAAAACTGTTTTCAGGCCAAATAATTATTTACAAACTTCTTAATCAGATATTTCTCTAAGTGTGGACGACTGCTTTTTTCATGTAGTCTATTCTATAGTTCGTGCGTTTCGCGTGTTGAAACGGTCAATATTTGGAGCCAATCTGATGAGCATTTATCTGGCTTAGCTGCACAATTTTTAGTACATTATATAATGGGTAACGTTTTCTAACGTTTTGTGTGCATAAGCTTTTTAAGTGTCTTGTCCGCAACTACTAATATAAAGTTTTTTTTTTAGGTTCAGTTACACCAGAAGTCATTGTGCTAGATACCAATGGAAACCAAAAAGAATTGGACGGAGTTGCTATTGTTTATAATTCTTACGTCACTTTAATTTGCCGTACAGTATCTGACGAACATCTTCTGAGGTGGCTGTATGCACCATCACAAGATGAAACATTTACGCCACTAAATAATACAGACCATATTACCATTTCGTCTCAAAAAAATGAAGAAGTATCGTTGCTACTCATCAATGTTCAGTTTAATATGTCGGGCGTGTATCAATGCACTAATGGACTTGCTAGTCGTCAAATAGACGTTCACGTCTATGGAGGTATTTTTATGATAATAACGCAGTTTCTTGTTCAGTTTTAAACAAGATTAGTAGTACTGTCCACTTGATGAAAAAACATGAGGTGGTTGGTGCTTACAGTCTCCAGATTAACACAATCAATTCAAGTTATCATCCTGTTATTGCATGTGAATTCCGGGTTGGTTCAAATGGTATAAGATATACTACTGTCCGTTGGAGAGGCGGAAAGTATCATGTTAAACCCAATCTTTACAAAGTTACTGAGAGTCGAGACGAAAAGTCTGGCATAATATGGAGTAATTTGACATTGCTTCATCCTTGTAAGTTTGGTGATTTCACTCCATTTAATCTTTAGTACTTTATATTTCATCCCTAAACTTAATAATTCATATGACCTGGTGCTTGTCATAAATGTAAAGATTTTTTTCGTCTAGTAACATATTAGCCCAATCACTCGATTCCCGATCACTGATGACAGGTCTCGTTTCCACTCTATGTACATAAATATAAGCATATTGTGTTTCCAGTTTTCACAGAACTATTGTTACTCATAGTCTAGTACATGAACATTTACCAGGCTGGTGATTTGGCAGTACATATCTTTTGTCTTACAAACTTACGCTCCTATGGAGACTTGATGAATCATTTATTAGAGTCACACAGACGTTACTTATGATATTTTCATGTCATGATTGCATGAAGTAACGAGTTATTAGAAACGGTAATTTTAAAATTATTTACAAGGTTAGGGGCAATCAACAGTCTTATCTTTCCCTAATGTTGGATGTTGACATCTTATTATGTATCGCATATTCTTTATTTGACTTTAAGTCAAATTAAAACCACTATTCTTCACACTTATAGTACTTTAAATTGGACAACAGACTTATCGTGATAGTAATGGCTCCATAAATTCTAAACATTCTAATTGCAGTTTAATGGGCTATTTTTTATTGTCTCGATTGATTGAGCTATGATTTAGTTACTTTTCAGATTTGTTTTTCCATTGGTTGTGCACTAGTGAACAAGAGAATAAATTAGTCCTTTTACATTCAGAAGTACATATTTGTGTCATTCATGGTTTTATGGAGGATAAGGGTTTCGTGTCGGCATAGTATAGAAAATATTGTCAAGGTTAAGAAGTTTCTGTTCAGTAGTAATTGAATGCGTTTTAAAAATAGAAACTATCTCTGTTAACACTGATGCTTATTTACATTGAGTTTTAACGTATGATTTTATCAGGTTCGTGTACGTTTTACGAAATATTTGTTTATCGTTTGGGATTGTTTCTCTTAACATAGCCTATGACCAAGAACTGTACGGAAAGTATTATTGCATGTTCAATATTGTGCCTGGTACTATGGAGACTGCTGAATTACAAATAAGCAGTGAGCTAGTTTTTTGATAATTTGCTGTAATACTATCTTAATACTTATGCAAAAATGGTTGTTCGGAATCAGTCGTTCAGGTTTTTTCATTAAATGGCCAAAGTAGGTATTTATATTGCTAAGAAACATTTATTACTGCTGAAGTAGTAGCCTATCTGGTAAAACTTCACTAGGTAGCGCCACGGCTCATCGCATAATCCTTCCAATAACCATTGGATTTCTTGAAATTCACTAGTTTAAACTCTAAAATATTTGAATACAGAATACCCCATCAGAACTTGCTAAACTATGGTTTTATTCACACCCTTTTTGAAACTTTTTAACTATGAATGGAACTTTATCTTCATTTATTTCACACTTTTAGAGACTCATCCTTCAATGAAAATCCTAAAAGTACTCGGTTGTCTTTTCATTAATCATTGCAGGTCCGGCACCTAACAATCCTTATTCTTTCTCGTTTTATCCCTAGTTAATAATTGAGCTAGAGAGTAAATCACTTGTGATAAAATCCTAGTCACGAGTTAAAGCTAAGTTATTTCGGTCGTTCGACTTTCATCCGTTGCAGCTACGGTTCGAAAACTTTTAACCTTTTTGATCTGAAGAATTATGTATCTCTCAACTAGCCAGTATCAGCAACCTTTTCACAGTAATCATATAAACCAAAATCTGTACTAAAAGCTCTTGGTTGATTAGATAGATACTACCCTAAGAATACAGAATTTTTGTTTACAAACTCTATCGGAAACATATGAAATATAAGTGAATATCAACAAGTTTACAAATACTTCAACTTAAAATACCAAACAATGTTGTTTTGCAAGTGATTAAGTAAATGAAGAAATCATATAGCACTTACAAAGTTGTCATTAATTGGTAATAATGCATAATTCCCAACCAATAACACATGTTTTCATAGTTTACATCTGGGACTGATCTTGATGAGACCACCATTGTAAACCAGGTAGCACTGAATGGTCGTTAGTGATAGTAAAACTAAGATCACTTCATGATAAAAATCCAATAATCTCCAAAAAACTTGTTTAATTATAATAACCCATTGTTCCAACCACACATAATTACAAGCGTACGTACACGCACTTGGATGTGATTCATATCCTAGCGTTTCCTTGATAACTGGTTGTTTTTTAGCCAGACTAGGTAAGAATGTTCGGTGAATTTTTATTCATTTTCGTATAAATAATAGGAAGTCGAAGTTGTGCACAATAATAGTTCAATTATGAACACATATACTGCTAGATTTTGTTACATACATATGTAGTTTGGGTTCATATCGATCATTATCTGTACATATTTTGTTTGCTTACAGTTAGACAAAAGTAATAAAGTTTCAGTAACACGTTGAGTAGACGGTAAGCAGCAAGAAGAAAGGAAAAACAATGAAATTATTAACAATTAGTATATTTAAAAAGGCTGGATAAAACCATGTATAGCATGTATAAATAAGTTTCGACTTAATTTAGGGAGAAAACAACTACCACTATTTGTAGTTTATGTGATGAACGTTGAGGTGAACTACATATTTAAACTGGGAAGTGTTTCAGCTTTTCAAGTTGGACTTAGGGACTTATTACAATGTCAACATACTACATTTTAAATTTACCCTTGAACATGATATGTTATCTGTACTTTCCGGTGGAGTTTCGTTCTTTGAGATGGATGGCCCTGATCGTCGAGCTTCTGTTGAAAGCTTGTGCTAATGATGTTGCCCAAAATAATAATGAAAGCTCCACAACTAAGTCATCGAGCTCAGAGAAGGAAACCCCATCAGGACCATACATTTGAGCTACAAATGTTCTCCGTCTTAATATTCCTAGTGCCGATCAATGGCATCTGTGTAGAATTTTTTTCAATAGTATTGTTGTACTATATATAATTATTCTTAGTGGCTTGTTTACTAATAATTGAGTTTAGTTAGTGCTATGACTTTAATCGTTAAACTAATTCATTTTTTGTTTTTTTCCTTATTTCTTCATACTGGACAACTTTTTCTTATATACATATCAAGTCCCACCATTAATACACAAAAATGAACGTAGTGTAAATCTTTATTCTGGTGTGAAATACACTTACTTTTGTGATATTATTGCTTATCCACCAATCACTGAACCTATTTCATGGATGAGGAATGATGTTCCTCTAGTAATCCAACATAATGGTCGAGATTCTGAAAATCGTATACATTTTGAAAGTAAAAACTTTCTCAATGATCAAATTGTATTCGATACAATACAATCAGATGATAGAGCTGTCTATTCATGTTTTGTTCGAGGAGCATTTGGAAATGATACAGCAGCTTTCTTTTTACGAGTGAAAGGTTGGTTTTTATTTCAAGTTAAATTTTTCTGATAGAATATTCAACTTTATGTAGTTAAATGTCTAGTACAAGATAATGTGAATTCAATCGACAACGTTTTTTTGTCTACGAAGTAATGTAATCTGTTTCGATTCTTTCGTTGATGAGATACTAATCACTCAAAAAAATACATGTCAATAATATTTTTCTTATGCGTGTAACATTAAGTGAGCGTTTTATAGTTTGGATATGTATTCTAACTAGTGATAATTTTTTTTAGCTTATCCTAACTTTTTTTCCTCGTCCTTCATCATCCTTTTCGTGTTTATCCTAACATTTTGATGAATGTATTGCTGAGAACTGTAGTGACATTAATATACAGAGGGTTATTTGGTTTTATGCTTTAAAGGTTTGTTCTTTGAAGATAAGTGCTGTAAGTAACTCAGTTCTTATTTTTCATGTGAATTTAATATGCCAGAAACCAGTATATTCAGTTTGTGAATATATGATGAAACTGTGCAGAATGTAAATCTGGACTCTTCAAATCATTAGAATGGTTTGCACGTAAATATTCTCTGCCCAACTTGTTTGAATTCGACAGTTTTACTAGTTGTGTTTGTCTGAAGAGACTATTCTTTACATAGACCTATCTTATGTATGCATGTCAGTCAGTCGGTCGGTCACAATGTAAAACCTGTGCGTATGTATGTTTTTTGAAGTTTCCATGCCCAATTAGCACAGAGAGATAAAGTTGTGATGCCAAATCCCAGAATAGTAGAGGTATTAACACTCATTGGTAATAGGAAAGATTAGACATTGAAGGCACGACTCGGAAAGAAAATATAAATTAGCTAAATAACAGTAAAAAGTTATGAGGAATATAGAATCTCAGGATTTAGGGGAATATAAAGAACGGATGCACCTGCGCCATTGCAAACGATTATGAGTCATGTCATTCAAAGTCTCTAACTATTCGTTGCGATAATCACGCGGATCCCAACCAGGTAGTCTGTACCTATTAACATGGGTCAGTCTGATTGTCAGTGACTTTATGGACAAATGTCATGGTTTGTCCGTCCCCATCTTTCATCTAGACTACTCATGCACCGAACAACATTACCCGTCAAGGTAGGAGGTGGTTGGGCATGCGTAACATGTCTCGGCCACATCAATTGATGAAAATTTACTACCTCATCAATCGATTTCTCATCTGTTATATACTAGTACTATACACTTAACCCAGGCATTGCTTACTCTGTGGTTCCAAAATACACGACCAATGCTTCAAATACTAGTAACTTATGAATATACTCTACTTTTGATGACTATGTATCACATCCGTCCTATGTTGTGGCAGACTGACTGCTGTGGAAACAGCAGTGATATCCGCTAGTAAGGTAAGCCATAAGGTCAGGGAGAAACAATGGATCTCGGCAGCATCCACCACACTGATAGATGCTCTAAAACTCATCCCACCTGGCTCTGAACATAACGAAGAGCGGAGTCAGCTTAAGCGAAGCCTATGCAATGATCGTGAACAGTGGTGGGTAGCGAAAGCAAGAGAAATGGAAAAGGCGGCGGCAATAGGTAACAGCAGACAGCTATTCAGACTTATTAAAGAAACCGGCATTAGGAACCCAACTATTAGCGAAACTATCTCAGACAAAGATGGGCATATCATTCATTCTCAATCCAGGAGATTGGATCGATGGGCAGAACACTTTAGGGATCAGTTCAACTGACCTTCAGCCACACTTCAGTTACCCACGATCCCCAGTCGTCCTGAATGGCAAATTGAGGTAAGTCTTCCAACTCTACGAGGTTGAAAAAGCTATAGGAAATCTGAAGCGAGGGAGAGCCGCAGGCCCTGACAGGTTTACCCCTGAGATTTTTAAGGATGGTGGTCCAGTACTAGCAACGAGATTGACTAAGGTCTTAGGTAGAATCTGGGAACTGGACGTAATTCCATCTGACTGGTCCCAATCACTGATTGTGCCAGTCTATAAGAAAGAACAAAAGTCCTCCTGTGTCAATCACAGAGGAATCAGTTTGACTAATATAGTGTCTAAAATATTAGCTTCAATAATACTTAGGCGCCTAACCAAAGCTCGTGAAGAGCAGACTAGAGAAAACCAGGCTGGTTTTCGACCTGGACGTGGTTGCATAGACCAGATATTCACTCTACGTCAGGTCCTAGAACATAGCCATACATTCAGACGTCCCACAATAATAGTATTTCTTGACCTTAAGGCGGCATTTGACTCCGTTGATCGTGAGGTTCTACGGCAGTGTTTGTCAGTGAAAGGAGTACCAAAGAGGTACATTAACCTCATCAAGGCTCTCTACTCGAACACAACTGGTCGAGTTAGAGCCTATGGCGAACTGTCATCAGAATTGGTTACCTCAAGTGGTGTTCGTAAGGGCTGTCCACTCTCCTCATTCTTGTTTAACTTTGTCGTTGACATGCTTTTAGAGATAACACTTTCATCATCTCAATCTCCTAGAGTTGAACTTTTACCGGGAGATTCACTTATTGACTTAGAATACGCCGACGACATAGTTTTATTCGGTAAAGACGCTGACAAAATGCAGTCTTCTGACCACTATAAGCAACAATGCAGACATGTTCGGGATGCGATTCTCTCCCTCGAAGTGCAAAATGTTACTTCAGGATTGGGTTGCATCGACACCTGAACTAATGATAGGGAGTGAAGTAGTTGAGCGTGTTGACAGCTTCACTTATCTTGGGAGTCTCATCAGCCCTTGTGGTCTGGTATGTGACGAAATCTCAGCACGGATACAGAAGGCTCGTCTAGCTTTCGCCAACTTGAGCCATTTATGGCGTAGGTGAGATATCCGTCTAGCGACAGAAGGACAGGTTTACTGTGCAGCAGTCCGTTCCGTCCTACTTTATGGCAGTGAAACATGGCCGATAAGAGTAGAGGATATTCGTAGGCTACTAGTGTTCGATCATAGGTGTCTTCGACGCATTGCTCGTATATCCTGGGACCACCGAGTAAGTAATGCAGATGTTAGGAAACGGGTACTAGGTAAGGATGGCAAATCGATTGATGAAGTACTGAAACTTGATCAGTTGAGATGGCCGGGACATGTGTTACGTATGCCCAACCACCGACTGCCTCGACGTGCAATGCTTTATGGTGTAGGAGCAGGTTGGAAGAAAGCTAGGGGCGGCTAGACCAAAACATGGCATAAATCCATGAAGTCGCTGACAAGTGGACTGGGCCGTGTTGGTAGGCGTAGACTACCTGGTTGGGATTCGCGAGATGATAGCAACCGATGGTTAGAGACCTTGAATGACATGGCTCAAAATCGTTTGCAATGGCGAAGGTGCATCCACTCTTTGTGTTCTACCAACTTCTAATCTTCTGAATTCTTCATGTCCGTATCCTTTTTCTCTTTCCAAATTTATTTCACCGTATTATACTCCTTCAATAACATCTTCCAACCCTTATCTTTCACATAATACTTATACTCTTACTACTTCTACCAATATGGGATTTGAATCGACAACTTCATCTCTGTGCTAATGTGGTATGGCAACTCGAACTGATGTACGTACGTACGAAGTTCTACGTTATAACTGACTGACTGACTGGTATATCACATCCATCAAGTAGAACGAAGCAATCTGTTGGGCAGAAAACTCGTCCTTTGGTTGGAAGATGGATTTCTCACCTACTCCGTTAGTGACGCAAGTTGGCAAAGCCAATCGAACTTTCTGAATCCATTCCGGGATTTGGTCAAATATCAAACCAGGAGTACTAAATAGACCTTCAAGATAAGTGAGGCGGTGGATGCGTTCAATTATTTCACCCCCTATCACTCATTCAGGTGATGATGCGAGCCAATCGTGAAGTAACATTTTACCTTTGAAGGTAGAAAACCGCATCCGAAACACGTTCGCATTGTTCACAGGACAGTTTTTGTTCTTTCTTGTTAACTGGAATGATCAGAGATCACGAGCAGTCGGATGGGATTACACCTCGAATAACAAGATGGCATTCTCCTACTACGCATTTCACTCACAATTTTTTATTTTGTTATATTACTGTTATACTGATTATGACTTGACACTTTAGTACAAATCATTCTGACCTTTATTAAATGAACTCTCTAATTTACAAATAACACAATTATGAAGTATTTATGTCGTGACAGATGCAAACGTTCACCATTTTTAACATATAACATCAAATTCATTAATGTATGCCTTATTTTGACATTTGTAAGATATCATAATTATGGACTTATAACTGTAGAACCTAATGGTGGAGTTGTTGAAAACAATTATTCTCTCTAATATCCTTTATCTTGTATAATTTTTTAATCTAGATAAATACTTATTTCATAGCATGTAGTCAACCCTTACCTCACACCAGTCCTAGAAATAAAAACAAATCCACTGTTATTGTTCTGTTGTTTAGTTTATTTTCGTCTGAAACAGTAGTTTTATCTTCTAATCGCAACTGTGAATTAAACATTTATTAAAATTTCTTAAATTATGCATTATGAAGGATTTAGACATTTCTATTGAACATTATTATTTCGCTTCAGTAGAATAAATTTCATATTAGTGATTACAAGTCCTTAGGATTAATAAATGGTCATTAGTACTATCCCAAGGTATTTATCATTATATCGGTGGTTGTCTTAATCTTTCATTTGGATAATTGATGGAAGTATAAAAATTATTCACTTTATCAAGACTTATTAAAGTCATTGAAAATCTAGTATGAGACCAGTTAAAAAAGTAATCTTCTCTTGATATTATCCATCGAATTGTAAACACTGATATTCTTGTGTAGTTTCTGAGTGTTCAAGGTTGAGGTGTAAACTGTTAGTGTAAAATTATCAGCTAATTAATATACATTTGGATTTCCTGTTTGCTGAAACAGTTATGTCTGAATTGTTGTGCTTGCTGAATACTCAAGTGGGTTATATTTTGTACTGAACTCCTAAATCCGACAATGCGCTATGAGAACGCAAGGCTAATAACGTTGATTTGTTTACAGTTAAGTTAACAATCAGATTTGTATAGTTTGAAACTGAGTAATATTCAATACCAGTCACTCAATGACTTATTATATGAACACAAATTCGATATCTCACAGTCAACCGTCTATGACCGACAAATATAACTATTTGACTAAGTTACGTAATCATTCCTCAAGGTGTGATTATATATATATATATATCAGCCACTTGAAAAGTTAATTGTCTATAAGTTTGTAACTTTATGACATCGTTGTAAATGTCTTCACAATAAGATTGTTATTTGGGTAACCGATTCTTCACCGTACCATCTCAAGCTTCTAATAATTGATTTCCCGTAGACTTGTAGACGTGATATGACTCTGAGTAATTGGTATTCCGCAACTATACAACGAACCTAACACGGAAATAGGGTATTATGATAACCTATCGTACATTCAGTGCATGACGTTTTTATATCAATCATAGGGTTTATTAAACTAAGTAGTTTAGATAGTATGTAGTCGTTACAGTTGTCATAATTTTTAGTCGAAATTGTGATGCTTATAATTATAAAGCACATTATATTTTCGTATATTAGTCAGCGACAGTAATTATTACATTTTAAAAAGATTCCGTGTAACTGCATAAACAAGTCGCTTCATTTACATCATGTTAAAGTATTTTTAACGTGTCTGTTTACTACTTGTTTGCAATATAGATCGTCATGCTACGCTATGGCCTTTAATTGGTATTATCCTAGAAGTGGTGGTTTTGTTTATAATTATTTTAATTTATGAAATAAAGCGCCGTGAGCGTGCTAAACGAGAAGAAGCTGGGGAAAATTTGGTCACATCTAGCAAAACACCAAATGCAGCGTATGGAGTTGATGAAGCGAGTGAGAATATGTAAGTTGTTTACTGAAGAGTAAATTTATTCCTGAAAGCTATTTATTTTCTAGTTATATCTTGTTTTTATGATATGGTTCTGGATATGTTTTTTTCTCTAAATTAAATGAGCTCAGAATCTTGTGCATCTTTGACCGAGATTGTTCAAATGCTGCAAATTAATGTGCGCGCATACATATCATACATATAATAAATGAATGAAAGTTAAATGATAATCGGAAATTATAAACTTAAGTTTCGTTTGAATAATATTTCATGGATTATGGCTCCTTCTAGGTAAACTTCAGATTATCGAGTTTCGCGCTGATAAATTTTAATCATCTTTCAGCAAGGGTAACCGCGATAACTTATTTCTGATTCCACATTGACTTTTGATGATGTTTGGTTGGTTGTTGCCATTTTTAGTTCGTTAGCTTTGCTGTGTCTCAAGGTCATATATCCTTGCTTTAACACAGTTGTTGTTCCTCGGATCTTACTTCTTTGAATATCAGGCTTCTCCTGACTTCTTCCTGTCTTCGCGTTAGGGAACTATTATCGAAGTTCTGTATCAGTCATCCGATTTAACTAGTTCACGTAAATCCCTTTATATGTAAAGAGCGTATCCGATCGTTTGTAATTAGAAGTTACCGCAGTTCAATAAAAAAACTTTACAGTTCCTTGTTATGGATATTTCAAGTTCATTCATGATAAGCAACTCAAGTTGCTTTTTTTTAATTTTCTTACATCAACTTTTGAATTCCAGGCAGTCAGATTTTTCTTCTTTAGACTATTAGTCATCGATCGGTAGATTACTTTTAACTCATGAAAATTAGGTGATTACATGCATCTTGAAACATTTGTGATGTCTAAACTAAAGAAGAACTAAGCAAAATAGTAAGTGTATATTCAAAAATAAATACTGTCTGTGGTAGTCATCTGGTTATCTATACATCGTTATGTTGGTTTGTTGCTTCTCAGTGTATTTAGTTTTACCCTCAAGTTATAGGGTTTGTTAAAAGTTGCAAGTAGGATAAATAAATGGTTAGTAGATGCATGACTCTTATTCTTTAAGTTTTACTTTCATTTCGATCGAAGTAGAAACTTAGTAATACATAGTTTTTGCTTGTAGTATTGAATTCGATAATATGACCAACCACGAGTTCGGCAAGTTCTTACTAGGTTACTTGTATTAGTGTAAACAGTTTCCCTAAAACAGTCACATCTAGGGAGATTATACGAACTTTTCTGGAAAAAACTTGGATTTATAGATTTTGTGAATAGGAGGCTTTTTAGAGTGATTACGACAAAAACTTTTTAATGGAATTAAAATGGGACTTAGAAAATCAATTTATATAATTTTTTTTTAGTTCGTTTGTAATCGTTAGAATCCGATCATTTATAATCTTTACTTTTATCTGCTTCAAAGTAAATTTCCGTATGTTACTATAAGAATAATGTTTCTACAAACATGTAACTTACATGTTTGTGTCTATATTAATGCTTAATCTGTTCCTGCTTCGGTTTGGGCATCCGGGCAGTATTCCAACTCCCACACATTTGTATTTCGTGCTTCCTTGTACCAATGTTTATGTGTTTATATAAGTCTGTTCCAGTTAAAATGTTCTTAATTTTACATTTAAGTTTTATTTATGTAATATGAATATTTGTTTAAGATAATTTCGTGATCAGCAGAATCTCTTCTATTCCAGTTTTATTAACTATATAATATAATTAGTTCTTACACAAACAGTGTAAATCAAAGCTATGTATATGAATCTGTTGTTGATAAACGGATTCCGTAATTATAAGAGTTATTCATTGTTGACATTTGATTTGTTTTTTATCATGTGGTCATCATTTTATTTTCATGATTTACACTACATTCTCTAAACCAAAACAATAACAAACCATCATATTCTGAAACTTCTTAATACACAAATTATATTTATTAACAAGAGATACTATCACGTTAAGTAATAAGTTAAATGATCAAGCTTTGCATATGTATTGCCATCATAATCCTTTCTGTTTAACAAATATACTATAGACTATATTGAACTATAACAGGATGAGTATAAAACTTAAAACATACTGAGAAATATATATGCTACAGTCTAATTTTTCAATCCTTTTTAGTAAAAAAAGAATTTCGCTACTTTTTCTAAAATGCGCCTTATTTCATATATATGTCAAAGTTGAAATAGATGGTTTATTAAGTGGTCAATTTCCAGTTTTCCGTTTGAGCATATACCTACACAAAAATAAAATATCATTTTTAAAATCCTGTTTATTTGCTGGTTTACATATTGTAACTGTTTGTCATCCTTTCCATTGAGATCAAGAAGTTTATGTATATCACTGGTTCTAACCTCAGAACTTTTATCTTTAGTGAAAATGTCCTCATCGACCGACCTGGTTTAAGCTGTAAAGGCATGAGCTTTCACATTTTCAAGTAACATCCTATCGCATGGATACTGTGAATAGAAAGTGTGCTCACATCTGTTTTAACAGTAGTTCAATAAAATCGGTATACTCTACGCACTCCTGGCCACATATACCAGGGTATTTGTAATGATGATTATAATCAGTATTGATTTATTCGCGTTACGTGATAATATCAGGGAACAATATTTGGGATATACTACAAACGTGGTACATCATAGTCGTTTATGTTTCGCCTAGCTTCATGCTATTAATTGTTTTTTATTTTTTGACGTTTTCATGCCTTCTTTTCCAGGTTATTACGACAACGAGGTGATCGTCACTAGGACAACATTACGAAATTCCATCATCATTGTATTAAACCATTCTACACAAACATCCAATGTATTTTCACGTACACATACACATACACTTTCTATGATGGAACTATGTTTTTAATTATTATTTTTTTCTTTTCTCAGAATATTGTCCACTATACAATAGCCATTTTTCTTATTTCATCATTATGTATTTTACAGATTATGTTATATATTACTTAACTATCTTTCAGATGGTTTTCATATTATCACCATTCATTCGACATTGATTAATGATCATAATGCATTTTTTCCTTCAATAATTTCCTCATATTATTGTGATCCTCACATGTGATATATACATATATATACTACTACGGGCTCACTACTCATTCTTATGTGTATAAATAGAAATTATTCATATAATTACAATCTTCTTCATTCTCATTTATATACAATTATACGCTTTGCATATCATAATGCACTATATCTTCCCTTTATTATTTTATCTTTTCCAACAAAATATGCATTTACATTTGTTATACAAAATGTTTTTTTTTGTTTAGAAAAAAAGAAGAAAACTATTAATCTATGCAAATATCTTTTTTCTTAGGGATTTATTCGTATCCAATTCCTTTGTCCCTTCTTTTTTTATCATTTTTCCCTCATATTTTTTCATTTTTTTCTTTATACCTATATACCTATACTTTTCATACTATTATTATTATTATTATTATTACTATTCATTTATCTTCTATAATTTCTAGTCAGTTATTAATGCATTTCCATGATATATAGAGATTTAGATTACTATTATTAACACAATGAATTATTACAATTATCATTATTAGTATTATTATTTTTGACTTAATATATAAAGGCTGTTAATTTAACCTTCTCATGTCTCTTTAAAGACATACATACGCACATTTCTCTTTTTTTGCCTTTATTTACAAAACTTACTCTTTTGAAAAAAAAATTACCTTGTTCATATTCAATTGATAATATTTTCCTTTGTTTAATATGACAAAAAAAGGAGAATACACTTTTAGTATATAGTAGTTTATAGGAGTGTATCTGTTTTTATTTCTTAATAATGAGTTTATTTAAACTTGCATGTTAATTGAGGTTTTTGGTTTATTTTGTGCGTATAGAGTTGATATAGAGTTTTTTTGGTTAAGCGAAAACACTCTAATGCTCTATCTTTATTTAATGGAATGAATTGTTTAAAACTTTAGTTGTTCATAGTTGAATGACGTTATTGATTTAGTTGAAAGGGTTTTTTGGAGGTTGATTTGATTTGTTAGTGGGTAATTTTCACAGATTATTCTTAGCGTGGGTATAAATAAAAGGCAGAAGGCACTAGATAGGCATTTCGTTCTAGTACGAAATCTTCAGCAGAAATCAATCTGGGATGAACACAACCGAAAATTTGATCTGTTTCATGAAACGCTTCAAGAAGTTCTAGTAAGAAGTCATGGAGTTTAGATATGACTAAAATTAGAAATGTAAACCACTGGGTACCAATTCAATTATGTATAGTCTAAATGTACGCTTTGAGCTCTGGAGGTTACGGATACGTACTGCTAAGTCTTATACTAGCATAAAACATGTCTAGTGCTCCTTGGTTCTTTTAGCGGTATTCTATCTGAGATCAGTTTTTGACGAATAGAACCTATAGGACTATTATTGTAAAATTTCAGTAAATCTGAGATATTGATAGCTCGGTATTACTAATCAAGAAAATTTCTCGTTAAGAAGAACTATTTCTACGTACTTTTTGATATTGGGATGGAAATGTATGAAACCTAGAAGTGACACACTCCTTTATTCTTTCATGATTAAATACTTTTAATTTGTCCTGCAACCCAGGTAATCCATAAATTATTAGTGTAAATTGATATTATCATCCTTACATGTATTTCATTTGGAAAGTTGCTTTTTGTTAATGTAAAAGTAGACTTTCTAGATTAACTAAATTGTTCATTGTAGGTGAGATTAAAATTATTGAATACCTTTCTACGAACTAATTCTTTCTTCCTGTATTCTATTCTTATACACAATTTTTCTTTTATATATTACTACCATTGAAGTAACTACTTCCATGAATTTGGTATTCATCTTGTCGTGTTAATGAGGTGTGGCAACGTTGACCGTTGCATATATGTGCCTAGTCCTACGTTGTAGTTGACTGACTGACTCATTGCAGGTAATACTATTGATTATACAGAAATCATCATTCTTGTAAATTGTTTCCAATTTCAAGTGTCAATAAGTGATTTTAGCTTTCAAAATACTTTGATTTCTCGTTTATATGTCTGTTGGTAATTCTCCTACAAGTAAGGATTAATTCACTACATAATCAAATAGGTCACACTGCTTAATCAAGTACACACTGTGGTATTACAAACTGTTATAAATTTGTTAAATTATTTAGTCTTGAAGATATTCTTATTGAATACAAATTGCAAAACTCTTATGAAGTATCAGGTACTTTAAATTATTCTGTCAAATAGGGTACTCGTAGTAAATTTAAAAGTCGAAACACTGTTCGATGAACGTACTTTGATTAAAGATGATATTAGTATTTTCACGATTGTCATTATTTGTTTGTGACTACATTATAACATATAGCATGTAAATGATGTGCATCAACACGTTTCAGAACATTTGTCAACGGTCACAGTTTTACAAAGATGTAAGGAGATTAGTAGAATTAATCACAGTGACAGCGAAATAATGAAAATAAAAGTAACTTTCTGTGAATGAAAAATTAGCTTCCAGTTAGACGATATGCAACTTATGTATGCTAAATCGATCGACTCACATCTCTACTGATAAAAACGATCACATCTAGTAGTTCTTTAAACTATTTTGAAACGTAAGCTTGTAATCTACTTAGAATTGTAAACTCAAATTATTTGAACTGGGTCATTTTCATATGTGTTAATTTTATTGTCAATCTTGTCTGTGATTCTGTCTAGGTTATGTATCATAACGATTCAACTTCAAGCTACATAATCACTCTAACATGTGGCGTCTAGTTATCATTATTAGTTGTTTACAACATTCCCCTATGTGTTAGTATTGATACACAATTTTAGATAATTATGAGATAGAGAACCGGTTAAAATGAATTAATATTGCTGGCCAGTGATCTGTTAAAATTTGTCATTTGTAAAAAAAGAGGATATCAGTTTCATATCTATTAAAAACCATCTAACATTCATTGTCAGTTGCTATGTATAGCTCTAGTGTAAACAACTATTCAGGAGTGAGAAATTAACGACCTAAGTTGGTTGAGTCACATTTGTAGTCATTAATATCTTTTATTTTCACCAAGCATTAATCACTGTAACACTAAAATTTCGAATGGTCGATTCGTCAAGTATTATGACTTTAGACTTTGTCATCATGATTTGACTACAGTTGATGAACTGTGTCCGGAAGTCTATCTGGTTTTGATAGATTCTAGATTAGAGGGGGTTTTGTGGAGAATTTAGTAGATGCGCACTGCTGAGGAGTCCCATAATAGGACGAAACGGCCGTCCAGGTTTTCGATGGTGGTCTAGCTTCAATTGACTCATGATTTCAACTGTGAAAATACTAAATTCTCCACAAAACACCTCTGATCTATATTCATATGCTCACTAGTGACAGACTTCAAGAGATATTTATTTGAGTTCTAGTGGGAAGCAATGTGGCCAGCGGAGTTCTACCAGGTCTGTTGTAGAGATATCATCTCACTGAAGACAATTGGTGAACGGTCGCTCAAAATCGTGGATTGGTTGAAGTCAGACATTAACACCATCGGATAACAGCTCAGTGGTCTATCGGTTAAGGGCTTCGGCTCGAGACTGGTAGGTCCTGAGTTCGAATCCCGCGAGAGCAGGTTCGTGAGTGCGCACTGCTGAGGAGTCCCATAATAGGACGAAACGGCCGTCTAGTGTTTCCAGGTTTTCGATGGTGGTCTAGCTTCAATTGACTCATGATTTCAACTGTGAAGATTCTAGATTATTATGATCTCGTGAATCGTGCAAAAGATGACAGTTTCGATCTACTATTCACTAGTTTTGATAGACAGATTACTTTAAAGACATAAGAGATTTTCCAAAAGTGACTATTAACTCAAAATTTTTTGGGACAACGTGGAAGTGTTGTAATATTCAAGAGTATTATAAGAAATTTGGTGTTTGTTTACGCACTGCGACAGTTTGGTTGATTATTTTATATTAAAAATGTAATCTCAGTAAACATTAGTCTTTTTACTTTTATATGGAAAAACCTTATTGCCAATTTTAATGTAGTCTCACTCAAACTAGTCTAAATGATTTTAGAAATAATGAAACATTCATCGCACTCACAACTTCTCGCTAAAAACAAGAGAAATTTATCATTTAGGGAAATTAGAGAATATAATCGACCAGAATTTAATATACGCACGATACATTTTTGTTAATATGTTGGAGGAAATATTCAATCATCAACAATAAATGTTGTTATGACAACAGACAATTAACTTTTTTTCCAAATTAACACAGTTAAATAATTTTGTATATTAAATGTGAATTAATTAATAAATGTCACTAATAAAAGCTGAATAGCTTAATTACTGTAAGTTCCTGGAATTGTAAATTGAAGCAGATGTATAATTATTTTTAGTTCGTACTGCAATTCTAAAGTTACCTACAATTTCCTCGTTTATTCAAGTAGATAGAATGAATTCAAAAGTTTATAATTGATTACAAAAATGAAATGCTATCGTAAACAATCTATTTATTTATTATGAGCGAATATAAAATAAGTAATTCTCTCCTATATTAATTCTCGATAGATTATTTTATATCCAGCTCAAAAGTACCATTTACAAGCGACTAAATGGTTAAATAAAAGGTGTACTACAGGAGGTAAATAAATGACTTTAATGAAAGTTAACTATAATTACAAAATCTGATTAACTCATTTCATGCCCCCGAATGCCTTGGCACGGCCAAGAGTGGGGAGGGCCCGACCTCTCTCTCGAAATGCTC